ATTTATTATTTTTATTAACCCTGAAAGCCTTATCCTGTTATTACTGCGTATTTGCTGGAATTATTAAATTTGTTATTGTTGATAAAATCTGCAAAGTGACAGCAAAGCGACAGACGCTGCAAGTCATTCTGTGCCAGCTCAGTCAAATCTTTATAAAAAAACATATTATATGTGGAAGGAGGAAACTATGAATTATTTAAAGATTCGTGCTGTGTTTGAGATTTTTAAGTTGGTATTTACAGACAAAAAATGTCATCAAATAAATTGTAATATTAGCAAACATAACTAAAGTAAATACAAAATACAGTTTTCAAATGATGATCGACTTTATTAGTAATTTATTAGTAATTTAAATTTAAAGTAAAAGCCCCCTGAATGAAATAAGTCATTGTGTCACCCTTGACAACTGCAACTGCTAATGAGTCTTTCAAATCTCACAGCGATGCCACATTGGTGGTGGTGAAGGTTAAACCAAAGCATCTCCATCCGATTTAAGTCCAAAACCATCAGTTTGTTGAGTCATTCAGACGGAGAGCTGTGTGTTTCAGATATACATAATCCAAGTTCACTTTAGTTTCAGGGCATGAACTGGTGGTCGGACAGAGAGCAGTTGTGGCAAGTCCTCAAGATCCTGAAGCAGCAAAGCAGCTCGCCAGACCACCACACTACCACCACCATGTTTGACTGTTGGTATGATGTTCTTGTTATGAAGTGCCGCGGTAGTTTTATGCCAGATAACGGAACTCAAATCTTCTAAAAAGTAAAACTTTTGTCTAAACAGTCCACAGAGTATTTTCCCAAACATATTGGGGATCATCATCGTCTCTTTCTTGTGCTGAATCATGAACTCTGCAGTTCTTGTGACCTCCTGATCCAACAGTAGGCTGCCTGCTCCTGAAAACGTTCACCACTGTTTCAGATTTCTCCAGTTTTGGATAATGGTTCTCGTCATGGTTCGTTGGAGTCCCAGAACCTTAGAAATGATTTTGATAGATGTGAGTTTGCTTCTCTGCTATTCTTGAGATTGTAGGACTATGAATTGCTTTTTGAGATTGTTTAGCCCGCTTTACTTTGTCAGAAAGGTTCTATTTAAGTGACTTCTCAATTCAACAGGTCTGGCAGTGATGAGGCCTGGGTGTACCTATTGAAATTAAACCCAGCTTTGCAAAATATGTGGATAATCACAGTTAGTTCATGATTTAACAATGGCAGCAATTAATTTTTCACACAGAGTCGGGTAGGTTTGAAGAGACTTTTTTCCCTTAATAAATTAAATTATCATTTCAAACATGTATTTTTATGTTAACTCAGCTTACCTTTGTCTAAAAATGAAATTTATTTGACGATCTAAAACATTTAAGTGCGAAGAAATCAGGAAGAGGGCAAATATCTTTTCATGTATGTGTTCAGGTCGTGGCTTATGATACAATATATAATGTACCAAGTCAAACATCTGGGTCCATTCAAGAGAGAAGCTGAAAGTATATTATGTCCCATAATGTTTTTTTTACTCAAGCCGTAACCTCCAGGACTGAAAAACGAATCCAATACTCTTAGTTAAAAAAAGCTCGCTATCTAGCTGGAAATTAAGTATGATCATTTGTGGCCCTAAATAACAAAACAGTCACAGCTAAAATTCTCGAAGCTGTTTGAAAATGGTAGTAGGTGGGTTTAAATACATCCATCTACTATATACAGTCTATGTTTTTACCGTCACAGAAGAAACGGGTCCAATTCTGTACTGAGAGAGAGTGCAGCATTTAGTTGCTTCAGCATTTAACGTTGGAATTATGGACAATTACAAACTTTAGAGCATTTTCCTTTTTTGAAAATAAATTGATGCTTTCACTGTGTATCAAGCTGTCACTCTAAAACCAGAGTTCATGCGAAACCGTGAATTCTGTGCACCCCTGTGCCCCTATTTTGCCGACAGACACATCAGCTGAGAATTGGCCACACAGGTGCAAATTTCATATTCATACAGGCACACAGAACATACTTAACTCAGGCAGCAGAGATATGCATTTACAAAAAGGCACACTGAGGAATGATATTAAAACCCACCACCCACACACCAAGCCAGTATACATGTGTGCTGCTCAGGTCTGCCATCTTTTACAGCCTGATAGTGTAGCAGCCAGGGGGTCTCGGTGTCTCTCGCTGGCGCTATCTCTCTCTACTTTCTCTCTAACCTCGATCATCCCAGACGTTCTCTTTGCATGCTGAGCAGCCAGGGAGTGCGGAGGGTCTCTGCTGCCCCCTGATGGCTGTATGGGGCAAAGTCTGTATTTTAATGTGAAGGAAAGCGCAGCGGTCTCTGTGGGAGTGGTGCATGTCTGTGACTGTGTGTGTGTTTGTGCGGTACACGAGTGTGGAAACCAAGCACAACCCCCGAACAGAACAAGGTTGCAATGTTCATCTCGTACGCTGTCAGGTCGAAGGGATAGAGAATGTGAAGCAGGTTGTGTGTTTGTGTGTGTGTTTTTGTGCCAAACAAGGATGTGCAGGTGTTGGTGGGTAACAACCTCCCCAGAGACAGGAAAAGCAGGTAAAGAGGAGATGGAGGAGAAGGGGAGATTAAAAGGGGGACTGTTTTAGCTCGTCTCTGAGGACAAAGATCATCTCCATTAGTCTTTTGTGTGTGTTTGTGTGTGTTTTCCCACTCAAGGTCTACACCAAGCTGGCAAAACCTGTAGTATTATGCTGCCGATTGCATCCGTAAAAGACTACCTCTAAATACAAAATGCTCTAAATACAAAAGGGTTTTTGTCTGTTTTACCCCACATGTCCTTGTATGGAAGCCAGGCTGTATCTGATACACAAAGGCAACAGTGTAGGCAACACCTGTCTTCATTTCTTTTGTATCAGGTTTTTTGGAACTTTCAGGTGAGAGTAACAAGTTCAATAAGATGTTTTGGGTCATTGTTGTTTGAACTCTAATTTATACTTTTGATATTTGCTGGACTTTTTTAAATTCTGAAATAATTTTGGACTAAACGTAGCAAAACAAACTTGTGGTATGAACCCAGCATTGTTCATTTTGACTTCACTTTTTTGCAGGGTGGTGAAATTTGGGTATTTTTTGTTTTGTTTTGTCAGATGTCAGAAAATACCCTCGAAATAAGCGCAGAGGTATCAACCATACAGCCAGTGGGCTGGAACCATCCAGCCAAACATCTGGCCCATTAGAGAAGGCTGTCAGTCTCGCCCCAGCCTGAGGTCTAGAGCTCTTTACAGCCACGCTAACATGTTTTCAAGTAGGAGCTGGTGTCATTCAAAGCAATATTTGGGACTGTGATGTGGTATTTCACAGTCACACCTTGCCTCCCAGTAATGCCATCACTGTCTTTTCTTTGAACGTGTCTGGAAAAACACTCTGGACCCAGACTGTTTATACATTTGAAAACTAAGTTAAGAAAAGACAAATGAATAAATCTCTCAAAACTAAGTAAATTATATTTCTTTAAAATGTGACAAGGATGCCACCAAACAGGCTTTCTATCCATTGTTTTCAGAGTTTGGTTGTATAAAGATGTCAAATGCCTAATTATAGATAGCAAAGCTCAAACTGTCATACAGTATGAAAAATGAGACAATATCATTGAATACATAGAAACTGAGCTGTGGAAGTGGGCATACTTACTGCTGTCATGCTGGCAAAGACCCACACAGGCACACCAGTTCCACACAGAAAGGTGTGTCTTGTCTCCTAACCACTCAACCAACTACGTCACCCAACTTTGCACCACCTAGGTTTTCCATGTTGACTCTCATCCAAGTACTAACCAGCTCACCAGCTCACCCGACCATAACCTGCAAGACAAAACTCTGTGTTTGCATCTTTGTTTTTCAATGTGCACATTTGAAAATGCAGATTCTTTAGCCTCCACCAGGGGGCAGCACTCTTAGCAAATTCCTATGCACAAAGAAAGCGCTACAAACAACAAGTAAAGTGATGAATCCAAGGAGCAGGTGTTCTTTATAATGACAGAAAATGAACTGAATGTAGAAAAGCTGGGACCTATTGCTGCTTTTGCATCTCTTATTCTGTTGTTACTGATCTTTGTAAGCGGATAGTTTATTAAATATATGTACCTATGTCCTTATTTACATCAAAAAAGGACACATTTTAGATTTTCTCTTTTTAAGATGGTATGTGGCTTTTCTTGAAATGTGGCTCAAGTGGCTTGACCTACTTGGGATGAGCTAAATGAGTTTGGCACCCCAGATAACAAATAGTTAATATCTATCCACCCCGAAGATCATTTCCTGAGAAGGTTTTCTATAGATTTTCTATTTTCTATTTTCTAAAATAAAATCTGGATTTTATTTTTGTCCTAAGGTGTCAATGACAGCTCGAGCGCCACAGCTCCCCACAGCGAAAGCTTTGATTAATCGTTCAGTGTTTGATTTCACACACTGATACCAGCGCCGCACCACAAGATGGATGTATCATGACCGAATTGCATCATGCTTTAATTATAGTCCCTGCAGTAACTGTTCTTACATTCCATTATTTCCTGAGTGTCTTCCCTATTAATCTCCTGATATCAGAAGCTTGTAAGAGAAAACACAAGGAGCCCAACCTGACCAATCGCACTACTTGACGTTTTCATCTGGTTGCTTTCAGCACTTCACTGTGGCAGCTACATGTGTATGTTCTATACAGACACACAGCTTAACACACTATCTATAATGGCAGCATTAGTATGCCCACAGGCCTAGAACAAAGAGAAGATTATGCATTTTTATGCCGCTAACCGCAAACCCCATCAGTCATGTTCATCTGAACAGCTACAGCTAAGGAAAAAATAAAGTCACCACACTGTCACAGAAATGCAGCGTTCCACCGCAATGTCTTTATCAAACACTCGGTGACGTTTCAATTAGAAATGCTAAAAATAATGAACCTGTCACTCCGTGCACAGGAATGACTCGCTTTCTCTCTCACTTTCCCCCCACTCTTGTGCGTTTGTGCGTCTGTGTGTGCGTGATCTCAGCTGTCACTCGGGTTTTAGGGGCCCCCATTGTGACATCAAGGAGTACAACGTCCTCTATGTGGTGCCAGGCTCCGGCAAACTGCACTATGTCCTCATCGCCTCTATCATCGGAGCACTCCAGGTGGTCATCATCTGTGTGGTGGTGCTCTGCATTACCAGGTGAGTCATGCTCGAACACACACACATATACAAAAACAGCCTACTAATGAGCCTGGGAGCAGTGTTTTCCATGTTGTGTGTATCTGGGAGTTACAGACTCCTGAGCATGTAGGCAACAGCTGAAAGGTCACCGAGGTTTTGGGCACACATAGAAAGTACTGTCACGTTCTCAGGGGGCACACACACACACACACACACACACACACACATATCTGAAAACCTGCAGGTGTGTATGCAAGCACAGAAACCCACACATATCTGTATAGTCCAGCATGCACACACACACAGACACTTGTGTTTTAACATAAGCATTTTGTATTCACTATAAAAACCCACCCACACTCAGAGCCACAAACACACACATTCACATATAGCCTGCAGCTTGTCTGCCTCTGGCTGACCTAAGCAATTTATGACATTTAATAAAAGATTTTAAAGGAGTTTTGACCGAGACAAAACTGCTCCTCCGAGCAAAGGAGGGAGGAGGAGGAGGGGCGAAATGAGAAAGTGGAGCAGGGTGAGAGGGTAAGGAGAGGAGATAAAGAAGCAAAGAGAGAATTTATAACACGAAATACAGCGACAGCAACACTAATGTGTCCTGCAGCGTAGCGATATCCATTTAACACAAAAACATACTTGAAAATTCTTCTACGAGTCGAAAGGAATGAACTTCCAAGCGAATCGACGCAGGCGAGCGTTTCAGCGGTTACTGACTCGCTCCGTCTCTGTCAAGCCGATCGAATTTGCGCGTCATTTGTTGCGTTTTATGAATGTTGCTGGAGTTTTATGTGATTTCTGTTTGTTGTAAAGATTTGCCATTCAGTTAAAGGACAAACAGGGGGAAGTGGAAAAGGTCATCCCTATGCTTTGCCTCTTGTGTAAGAGATTTTGTGACATCTTGGAAAAGGTCTGTTCAAAAGGACTTCCCTGCAAAATACCATGTTTCCACCATTTTATTTTTATTATTCGTTACTTCTGTCTTATAAAATGAACAGAACAAACAAAGCTTTTATAACTTGAACTTCTTCTGTGGAGCCCAAGCCCTCTGGTTCCTATGAAATTGTTGGCAAAGACAATATTTTGTTTGATTTTTCAAAGATGAAGATGTTAGTCATTTCCTACAAATTCAGCATCTTATAAAATGCTATTTTCTGTTTCTGTTAAAAAAGAAAATCATCTCTCTACAGATTGTCCTCTCATTTTCCCGCTACAAAAGTCTCAAACAGGTGTTCATCTGATTTGTTTTCAGATGCTTCTTTTGTTTTTGCAGCAATAAGTTTTGCAAGCAACGCTGAGTATTGCTGAATAGCATGGCTATGTACTCAGAATCACACGGAGTGCTTTGGGTTGTTTGGCACCAGAACGTCAGGCACAGATCCTTTGGATGCTGTGGGGTTGCTGGGTGGGGCTTCCATGGATCTGTCTTTTTCTGACAGTCTAATTGGGATCAGAGGTGCTTGAACGTCCTTCCAATGCCCTGGGATCTTTGTTATGTTCCCCATTTGGAGGTGAATGCAGCATACATCAGTGTAGCTGCAGTCACACAATCAGACACAGCTGAAACAAATCGCAAAGAGGCTGCTCAGTCTCCAGTTGTCAGGGAATACATTTCTCCCTAGCAACCTGTGGTTGCCAGGGGGCCACTAACTGGTCCCTGGCGTGACTGGAGCTTTAACAAATTTCTCAGTGACTGCCAACAACCACTCGCCAATCGATCGCGGAATGCAAACCTTTCAGTAGGTGTGACTCTCCGGTCTCTCGGCCTGGTGGATGTGGCCTTTGGGGGTTGCACGAGTCAAAGAAGCAGGCACATGAATCCCAAACTCAGACTTATTAACAGTGAACCTGAACATATGCAACATAAAAGAAAGAAGCAGGCTCTAACTGTGATTTACAAATGTGTTTTTCTTCATACTTGTTTAAGGTTACAAATTAAGCTTTACTTTATTTTTAGTATTCTTTTTTTAATACTCAATTTGTTGGTGCTGTTACATTCTAAACTGTAGTCATTTTTAAAAAAGGTGATTTTTACTCATTTTTCAGTCATATTGCGTGTATCATGAATTCTTTTGGTCAATATAATCGTGTGCTAACATCTGTGTTCCTGACAGGTGATTTACATGAAAAAGGTTTGGGACCTCTGCTTTAAAGCATCTGCATGTATTAAAGCAGCAGTCTGCCATCCATGTTTCTCCCTTTAAAGTCTGAGTTATTAGATTAATATTAAAACAGTAATTCATCTTCTTCGTGATTTTGTGTTTTAGGAAGTGCCCACGGACCAACAGGATCAACCGGCAGAAGCAGAACAATGTCCACTTCAGTTCAGAGAATACCATGCGCGCCTCCACCCGACTGATCTGAGCCCAGACACACCAGACAGAGTCCCCCCTCCACGTTACGGAGCGCTGTGGCGTTAGATGTTTCTTCCCCGCCCCCAAGTAGGCCAACCCTGAAAATTAGCATCTGCTTCCCATCACTCTTCGCCCTCTCTCCCAGTATGAACTCAAAGAATGTCCATGGAGGATGGTGGCAAAGCAAAGACAGAGCTGGCACACAAGTGAGGTGACAATGATTACACATTGGAGAAATGCTGTCATTAGTCACCGCCGCCGCCAGCCCCCTACCCATGCCCATGTGTCTCCTTGCACCTTTTTCTGAAGGTTTTTCCTGAAAAAAACTAAACAAAACACGAACTATGAGGACTCGGGAGGGGGGGGGTGCGGAGGATACTGAATGTGTGTGTGTGTGAATGTGTATTAGATGTGTGCACTTTGGTAGAGGTGGGCTAGCCGGTGTCTGTTCTTTGTAGATGAGGGGTACAAAGCAAATCGGGGTAGTGCAAAGCAGGGTATCTGGCTTTTAATGAGGTGTGTGTTCAGCCTGGGAGGGGGGTGGGGGGGTTTGGGGGCTACACGTGATGCCTTGCACCTTGTGTTATAGGAGACCTTTGACAGAGGGCACAATGTTATTATAGAGCTCTCTGTTCGGTTGTGACGATGACGTCAGCTACTGTATCTTGGGTTCTATTTCCAATAGTTATTACTACGTTGTCTTGATGGGGTAATTTTTCTGTAAATGTAAATAAATAATTTATATCACGAAATGTAACATATTCTGTGTCGGTCTTTGTCTGTATTGAAGCAATGACATGTTGGTAGTGTTTATTAGTGTCATAATCATAATCTGTATCACCATCCATCCATTTTTCTCAGTGTTTTCCTGTTTCTCCAGGGGGATACTGAGGCACGGTGAGTTATTGGTTTACACCAGTGTCCCCCTTCCAGGTGGAAATGCCTGGAAAATCTCCAAGGAGAGAATGCCTGTGGCATCCTGACTGGATTTTGGAATCACCTCACCTGGCTCTTTACGACATGAAGCAACAGTCTAGTTCCACACCTACACATCACTCTTACCTTATTCAGACTTAGTTAAAATAGGCCAGTTTAAGTCAATTTTAAAGGATGGATTGGTCATACACATACTGCATATGATCTGGATCTCACTTTTTCTCATGTGACAGTTTCATTTGTGTGATTGTTTTGTGTCAATATGGGATGGATATAGGTATACCCCACCTCTGGCCCTGTGGTAGCTGAAGTAGACTCTGCACACAGAGCTCATGGCCATCGGTGGAGGCTGGAACTTACATAATCTCCGAGATTGAAAGCCTTACTTTTTGTTTTAGCTGTTTCTTCATCACAATGATCCGAGTTACTGTTGACATCACACCAATCTGCTCAGTCAGGGAATCAGTATCATCAGGTAATCATCAGTCAGGTAAGGTTGGGAGACATTTAATCGCCTTCTATGGTAAAATGGTAAATGGCCTGTATTTGTATAGCGCTTTACTAGTCCCTAAGGACCCCAAAGCGCTTTACATATCCAGTCATCCACCCATTCACACACACATTCACACACTGGTGATGGCAAGCTACGTTGTAGCCACAGCCACCCTGGGGCGCACTGACAGAGGCGAGGCTGCCGGACACTGGCGCCACCGGGCCCTCTGACCAATCCTTAACAGTGAATCCACCATTCTGAAGCATAAGACCAAAGCCACAGGAACTCAAACCAGCTGCTTCACACTCAGCTGTACCACATAGAAAAAGTGACACAAAAACCTGTGCTGTGATTGCAGTTCTATAGGATGAGTAAATAGTAATCTGCAGTAATGCAGCTCTTGTGTTGGTTTGTTATGATGAACAGAAAGCTGAGCACGAAAGTGAAGCTGTAGCTTCACTATCAGATCAGCATTCTCACCCACATCTATGGCTGCACGCGGAGGGTAGTGACCAAACAAGTTGACAGGTTGAGGAGCTCAGTGTTTTGAGAGGGAGTCAGAGTAGACTACTCAACAGTGCAAGTTGAGGTGGTTCAATGCATCTGACTAGGATTACCTTCTGGACACCTCCCAGTTGAGCTGTTTTGGGCATCTCCAAATGGGTAAAGGTCCTGGGCTAGATCCAGGACGTGCTGGTGAGATTATGTCTCTCAGGTGGAGTTGGAGAAGGTGGCTGGACAAAGGAGGCCTGGGTATCTCTGTCCCCACAACCCAGACCGGGAGAAGCAACAGAGGATGGAAGGCTAAGTTGCCAGTTCATACTACTTTATATTGCAGGGTAAAGAGGTAAAAACTTTAATATTAAGACAAATCTGAGCATGTGTCTGTCAAATGTGGGGAGGGGGAACTTCTTTTTAAGTTGACCTCTGAACTGAGCTCAGGGAGGAGCAGCTGTCCCTGAGGAGAAAGGGGGAAATGGCATAGAGAGATTTAGGGTCTGCATGATTTCTTTTGGTTTGGCTTCCTTGTATAAAAGCTTAGATTTTGTGAGTTATTGCCCTTCCATTATTCAGATGTCACTCAGATGACTGATAACGGTGGTTTTGATCGACTCATCAGAGGCTTATTCGTGCAAATCAGCTTGCAGTCATTATTCATCTGCCTCGAGCTTCCAGCAGAACATTGCTCACTAAGCAGCACTGTGATAGCAGGAAACATCAGAACTACAAGAAAGTGTCAGAAGTCCGATTGTAATTCCAGACTGAAAGTTTCTAACTTGGTAGTGCACAGAACTCTGTAACACTGTGGAGACTACATCAGCTCTATCTAAAACACAAGCAGACAGATCAAAAATGAACACACCGACATCAATACATCAAACTCTGATGAGACAGAGAAAAAAGCCATCACACAGAATTAAAGAAAGATGGCAAAACACTGTGAAGTGCTGATGGGTGGAAGGATCTCTAAACTACCTTTCAAGAAAGTAATAAAGACCTGAGGTGGGGTAAAATAAAATGCCTTTTCAGCATTAGGATAACTATAGAATGAAAACGGCGCTTTGCTTCTTAGAGCTGAACTCCCATGAGGGGAAGCAACCCTCTGCTTTGCATCTTTGTGAAGCAGGGAATTTAAAACCCCAAACACAGCTCAAAGCCAAATTTTAACATAAAGCCTTTTTAAAAATTTTTACAGTTACACTATAAGTCATATTGGAATTATTTTGCATTGAATAAATTACATATCTATGACTTTCATAAAATTTTATTCCACGCTATATCTGGTATTATAAACTAATTAAAAAGTTTATTATTTTTTTATTAAGTGAAAACTAGATGATCACAAAGTCAGTTAAACTTCAGGAATATCAGTCTGCTCAGTTAGGAATCAAAACATCTTTGTCTCTGGTGCAGAGTGCCAAGTGTGCCCTTCAGTTTTTTGAGTAGGGTATTAATTTACTAAATTACTCTAAAATCTGAGTTTTAATTAAACGCATATGGTAAGAAGGGGATGCGGTTCTGTAGTAAATTAGGCTCCACCCACCTTATCCAGCCACAACAGTAGTACTATACAGTGCTACATCAGCTACTGACACATGAACATAATTACTGATGTTGTTAATTACTCTTACATGAGTTCCTTTCTGCACTGAATGCTTTTACTTTTGATACGCCAACATTATATTAATATACACTTACAATGAATTCAGTGCGAGTTTGCTCAGCTGTTGTTGTTGGGATTTTTTTCACCTGATTCCTAAAACTAAACTATAAACTAAAACTAGGGAAAAAAAAATTTTGTTACTTTTTGTTACTGTGAATATATAAATATGTATTAAGTGTAATTATTATTTATTTATTTTTTTAGTTGTGGTCAGTTTGCTCAGAAACTTGGTGAATCTGCTTACTGAGGAGATGACTTTGTTTCACGTGTTGTTGTAGTATTGTAAAATTCTGATCTTCTCCATTTTTTCCATTGAATCACCAATTAGATAATAAAAACTGTTTTAACAGTAACAGGTAACCACAGTGCAACAGGTGTCAGCCGCCACCAGATGGCGCTGCATTCACCGGAACTTGACCTCAGCATGCGCCTCTTCTGTACACAGCGGCGTCACAGATGCGGTAACATCACTGAGAAAGTGTGTGTTTGCCGAGCTGTGCTAAAAAGTGGAATCATGGACTCATCTGAACTCATTTCTCATATCGAAACTGTTTGTGTAGTTGTCGTGGCCGAGTGGTTAAGGCGATGGACTAGAAATCCATTGGGGTCTCCCCGCGCAGGTTCGAATCCTGCCGACAACGAATTGCTGTTTTAAAAACCGGTAATAGGGACGTGAGGAAATCATTACTGCTTACTAGAACCGCTATGTTTCTCTGTCATTGTATCAATTTCACGGCACCTGTTTGACATTAAATAGTATAAAACACTGGCATTACTAATAACCTCATTGTAGGTGCTGTTCTATTTAAGCCCAGAGTTCTAATAAATGTGATTAGTAACACCTGTCTTTATTTATGTCAAAACGTCTGCTGCATGGAAAAAGGTCTGTTCGAGGATTAAAGCTGATATCCTTTGGACCTGACTCATCCAGTCACGATTAACGTGTAGCCTTCTTGTTGCCTGTACAGATGATTTAACTGTGTCCTCCATATTTGAGGCTTTTACAAGTTTTGGGGGTTTGTTTGTTTGTTTTTGTTTTTTTACAGATATCTAATATGATAATAGGTTCTATGGGGTGACCATATTTTGATTTCCAAAGAAGAGGACACTTGGCCTAGTCATGATGAAATTTAATAATAATACTGTTTGCTTAAAGAAAACTTTAACATATTTAAACAATGCCTTCTCTGATGGTGAATGGTGAAATAAAATGTCATATAGGTTTTTCCAAGTCAACAAACGCAAAAGACAGAGGATGGTTGGTCACCATATAAGTATTGATTAAACCACCGATTTTTTACAGAATGAGTTACAAAATTACTTTTTTTCCTGTGGGGCTGTTGAAGGGCGAACTGTAGAATGCGCACTTCTTGAGACTTCTTCCAGGCGCCACCTAGTGCATTAAGAACATCAAAGTCACATTATTATGGGAATCGGCAAAAGACTATCCCAAAAAAGGAAAAGTTAACAATCCTAGAATTCTGCTCTGGAAAATCCTGGGTCATTTTGATAGAACTAATAACTTTAAACAATTACATAACCTATGCAGAGTTTTTTATGGAATATTCAGGAAAGGATACATTTCACGTAGCAGTAATTATAAGTATACAAAGAACAACAACATCTAATAGCACTCACATTTCCCTCCATTTTCCCACTTGCAACAAACTTTACCTCTTTAAACCTATAAGGAAGGGTGAGCAAGGTTGCTGTTGTATCAGTATCTCATAATGGAAATTGTGTAGTGTCACAGTACACACTTTACCCTTCACCCTCACTGAAATTACAAAGTAAAAAGTCATGGTTTCTTGCAGTTCAGTCATTGGTACACCCACTTATGTGTCTGCACAGAACCTGGCAGGACCCAGTCAGTGTAATCCTGTCAGTTTCCTGTCTCCCCCTGCTGCTTTAGGCTCAGATCCAATGGGCTCTAGGCCAGGGAGGAGCAGGAAGGAAATCTTTGTGAATGTCTGAGTATCTGCTCTCAGCTGAGACCCTGGAGTCTGGCAAATGCTACAGCTGATAACAAGTTCGCCCTCCAATATTTACAATTCTTCTTGCTCTTGGCATTCACCTGTTGTCCGGTTACGCACAGATACAGTAAAAATAAAGAAACTATTTTCTTTAACCTGTGCTCTGTATTGCATGCACTGTCTGTTTTACCACCAGAAGTGATATGAACATTACTTTTATTTCATTGGATGGTAAAGTGCAAACTGCGTCCAGGACAGAACCAACAGTTTCATACTGATAACACAACTTAGGCTCTTTGCAAGCATTTGCACAGACAGCATGCTAACACAAAGCAAGCCAAGATCCCAGAGTGATGATAAAGCTGAGTATAAGCTGACCCCAGGCCAGCAGACAGAGCCTGAACTTCAGCAGGTAACAAAGGCAGTGATGAGCGGTCAGCATTGCACCAGCATAGCCTCCATTGTTACTTGAATCACTGTGACGATTGCTTTGAAGTTTCTCTGGGTTGGTTTTCATCTCTGCTTTGCATTGTTAGTTTTGTGTTCATACATAAAAACTAAGAGAAAGATGTGTGTTCTCATCAGCACAGAGATTTGTGTTTGTGTGCGGAACTGTAGTCTAAGGTTTGTGTTGCTAACTGGAAGTTATGTGGCAATGTGTAACACAAAAAATAATATAATGAGTAGTGTATCAAATTACTTTTCTGGGGAGTAATTAACCCTCTCACCCATAGTGGTCACTACATTGAACAGCTATTCAAAGGCTGTTTTCTTGTATTTGTGTCAGTGTTGATGGTATACTTGCACATAAAGCACCACATTGGACACTGATGTGTCACTCCATACAGTGTCTAAGCATTAAGTTTTGGTGCTTTGTACTTCTATTGTAAAGAGCTTAGTTATAAAAC